GAGTTCAAAGAAGTTGATGACAGATTATTTATAGGCACTTGATTGCGCAACTTTTTTCCCATTTGGTCCACTCTGTATCTTTAACGGTTTCCAATATCCCCATGTACATCATTTTATACTGGACACACTGTGTATAACTATTTCGTTGAGCGTGTATAATAATTTTGAACTGCAGTACTTTTGGTAATACTTCTCAGTCCGTTCCCTTATGCTTAAAATGCTCATAAAATTCTCAGTTTAAATTAGGAACTGAAAAACTCTAATAATAATAATAAAGGATTATAATCACATACACTATTTCTAGTTCAGGGATTTTCGAATGTTTAGTCTTGCGTTAAAGCTTTTAATTAAAATATGGAAATATTTTGATAATTTCAAAGGATAAAATTACGTCAGCTGATGTTAATTTGAAAGCCAATTAAAATAATTTCCGAATAATTTAATTATATTTTCTGGCTTATTATTTTTGTTTTTGAATGCACGAAAAGCAAAGTAAATACATCGAGGTAGTTGTGGATTGTATAGATTACATAATAATGCGAATAACTGTTAAAGAACTTTTCAAAAAACTCTAATTATAATAGTCTATAAATAAAAGACGGATTTGTTTAAAATTTCGACAATATTTGATCAATGCTCAAAATCTGCCGTGTAAACAAATAACTTACTAATTGAATGCATTTGTTTTGAAAATTGATTGCTTTACTTATTTTTGGCTATTTTTCAAACAAAAAAAATATACGGCTTCTTTAATTCCATTAGAGTTGTTTTCGTTTATTGATTTAATCCAATTTGTTTTTAAAGAACAATGTTTAATGCATAATTTTCAATTCGCTCCTCTTATCTATCTGTTCTGAAGGATTTAAAAGTGGGTTTCTGGAATAGTCAAACTGAAAACTTCAAAATTCTCTTCACTCTTAAATACAAAGTTCTTAGGAATTAACATGGAATAATAAAGTCAGAAAATTGTCGTTTTTCGAAAATAATAAAATTGCTTTAGAGGAACGCAGCTAACATCAAAAACAAACAAATTTCTGTTAAATCAGTATATCAATAAAAACACTATGTGAAACATTCGCCGTTATCTGAATCAAATAATTCCAAACACGTATATCTCTAGACTTAGTCCTACTAGAAGGTTTGTTGCGTTATTTCCAAATAAATTGATATTCGAACTCGAAATATAATTTTAAGAAATAGCTGATTGCTTTTAAGCTCATCAGCACCACCGCTTGAAGCTTCTTAGAAGTAAAGTAATTCAATTTTGACAAATCAACTGCCTCAGAAAGCAAAGCATAAAGTAAGCCCTTGATTCAGTTTAAGAAGAGAATTAATTAGTCAGGAAACTTCTTGGAGTTTTGAAAATGTTGGATAAATTTTAAAAATTCAGAAGAAACAATTCGAATTGATTATAGGATACATTCAATGTTGGGTGTTCGCATTATTCTGCTACATTTGCATATGTATTGTTACCTTATACATTTTTGGCATTAGAAATTTGATGAGAAAACGGTTTAATTCAGTGGAAATGCATTTTTAATCAGTCCTGATCAGCAAATTAACTGTTTTAAGGCTAATTTAATAATAAAATTTAATACGAAAGTAAACAAACTTCCTTACTCTGAAAGAGCTGGGACATCATACGAAGTATCAATGTTCCTCTTGGCACTGTTGACTGCAGCAGACAATAAATATCCATAAGGCTTGAAGGCCGTTTTAAGTTCTCGAAGCATCAAAACGAAATTTGGCTGCAAATTTAATTCTAACTATTTCACAATTCAAATCGAAATGAAACATTTTTACTTTGTCTTCTGGGTCATCACTGTCTCTTCTGCTTGGATATTCCCAGTCAAAGTCCAGTCCATCGAAGCCGTACTTGCCCAAGAAGTTAAGCACCGCATTTACCAGAACAGCCCGCTTGGTTGGGTCTGCTACCACTTTAGAATACTTTTCAGAGCCTTCATTCCATCCTCCCAAAGACGCTAAGACTTTCAGTTTCGAATTCTGAGATTTCAAGTTTACCAAACGTTGGAATCCATCTAAAAATGTAAGTAGTAAACTATTGGTAAACTGGCGATTGATTTTCTGGTGCTTACTAAGGCCATCTGGGTCGGATTCCCAAGGATCCAAAATGTTAAGGCTACCGTCCTCTTCAACGCCCAAAAAGGTAAATGCAATGTGAGTACAAAGGCTAGTATCGATGTTTTCAATATCGAATTTTCCATTTCCCGGCCTGTATATTGTCCAACTTTCAAAATAGCAATAAATGTTTTTCTCTGAAAACCAGAAGGAAAATATTTCAGTTTTAATGCAGAGAAAAATCATTAGAATTTTTCTTTATTCTAGTATGCATTTTTCACGCAAAAATGTGTTTCGATTTGCCTGTTAAATCGTTGTAGATCTTGAGACAGGAGAATATAACAAAGTAATACAATATAAAATTTAGTTAACAATAAATAACTGAAATAAAATGAATGACCAAGCTTCCACAACCGCATGTCCAGGGTAATACATAATTCCCTTTCATTATCATTTGTGCTTCTGCTGTTTCCAGACCAGACGCCCGCGCTGAAGTCAAATTTAATTAACTGACCAGCAGTAAAACTCAAGTAACTTATTTCCAGTGGGCGAGAGGGCAATATTACATAAAAATGTTTCATTTAATGCGCTTTAAAGCTTTTTGAAGTAGTTAGCTTTGAGCAATTAAGTGGGTTTAACGTCATCTGTTGGTGATGGTTCAATATATCTAAAGTGTTCATAATGCACCTAATATATTTTAAAAAATAAGAAATTGAACATAGATAGTATTAAATAAAATGTTGTTTTCTGGCATTCTCATGTAGCTTACCATTCGATGCTTGTAAACTTGCAGCTTCCACAGCTAAGGAAGCAACACAAAGCACGGAAATAGCGACAGTCAGCTTCATTTTTGGCACAACCGATTTGATTCACTGCTTAAAACTGTTCAATTCGAAGCTACGTGATTTTATAAAACTCTCTCAAAAACACTTGACCTCTATCTAATATCTAATCGGAGAAATTAGTGTGACAAACACGCTTTCGCAAAAAATGATTGATTTCTTTTAAAAAGGTTTAGAGTGTTCTAAGTGATGTCATTGGCATCTTAAGAAAATGTGCATTATTTTATTGATTGCTTTTGATAAGATCAATTTTTTACTTACTTCAACTTATGACTTCAGATATGCATTTCATGGTCATCGTAAACATCTCTGAACAAATCAGTTTTCATAATTTAAAAGTGCAACAACAAACATTTAGGTGACTATAATTAATATAATTCTAAAAAATTAAAAAAGAGTTGGTTATTTATTGGTTGGTTGGTATAATTTAGGATAATCAAACTATGGAGTTTACAAGCATTCCGTTGAAATATTGAAATATGAAGTGGTTTCAGATTAGTCAAGTGAGAGACATTCAAATTCTTTATTAATGTAAAATTCGACATTTTAAGTTAATATTTAAATATTCGAGAGATCAGGAAACCAAATAATGATATTGCGGCTCATAGTTTCATTGTTGTCTTTACAAATTTATTATTTTAATTTTATGACGATTTTATATTTAATTCCTAGAAGGCAATTATTGGCACTCAAAAGACAAATTATATTTAGTGAAATTAAATTCTTCCTAACACTGTCGAAGCTTTCATACAAGTAAAATATTGTTTATATACAGCTGCAAATTGTGTCTTTCTTCAATTTCAAACCAAAAATATTTTTTTCGTATCAGTATAAATGTGAAAACACTATTATAAAATGCATAAGTAAGAAAATACAGTAAGTGCACTAATTGAATAAGTGAATTAATCACCAAAATGCGCAAGTAAATAAAAATCTTTAACTTTAGCTACTTTAGTATTTAACAATGTTTAGACTCTTGATCGGTTTTTACCGTCAACCTACTATTTGACTTCAATTTAAATGTATTCGGTATTACATTTATTCATTTGATATGATCAAAACAATTGAGCAAAAACACATTTGCTCTTAATTGTTGGTTTTCTATTGGACTAATGGACTAATGAGATTCAAACAAATATATTGAACTGATTCAAAACATATTTTCAGACAAAATATTAATAAAATCCGAAACATAACTGTATATTTTTTTCTGTTTCTCTCATTAGTTGTATTGTTTTATCTGCTATATTCCGCTCAGTTCTTCTTTCAGACTGATCTCATGATATATTTGATCATATTATTCGTTCATAGAGTCGATACCTTTATATATTTCGGCATGTCTACAAGTTATTTCCTATATTTGCTCATTTTGTCGTTACAACCACGGTCTATTTAACAGACGTTGTTTATGTTTATATTTCATATTTACATTCTTTTTTACTTTAATCGTTCTCGTTTTACTGTAAAATCTGATCATGCTGAAAGCGTTCTCACAATGTTTTCGGTAGGTTTTGCAAAGTACTGCTAGATATTTTTGCTCCTTTATTTAGTATAAAGAGTAAAATTTTTATAAATGTTGTCACTTGTTTTCTTAGTTTTGCAGAAGAAAGCATAAACTAACTTAACAGAAAAAAACACGAATAGGGAAATGCAGTAATTGCACTAAGTGATTCAAGAAAAAAATAGGCAAATATAGCTAAAATCAAAATAAAGAATGAGGATGGATATTCTTTAATAACTTTAAGTCCAGGGTTACAAATTTATAGCTAAGTCTCGTTTACGTTTACGTTTACGTTTAGTTAAATTAAATATGTACTGCACGTATTTATTAACTTGAAAGAGCCAAATAACTCGAGGAAAATAAACACATTTACTGTTTGTTGGTCGTTTCCTCCTCAACCAAAAAGGTATAAAAACTATTCCAAAAAAATATTTTTTTAACAAATTTTTAGACAAGATGTTAAGAAAATCTCAGTCAAATGTGGTATTACAGGTAAATATGTGTATATGTTGTCTTCAGGTAAATTGCATGCCAATTTTATTAGCATTAGTAACATTTTTCACTTTTCATTTCTGCTCGGTTTATATTTTAGCTTCTAAACTATTTTGTGAGTCTTCCTTCTTTGTTTTGCGTCCTTTTAAGTCCTTACTTAACTCACACATGTTGCCTTCTAGCAGTCAATTTTGTAGTAGAAATGTGGAAACAAAACATTAACAATAACATTTTAGAATAAATATAACTTTTGAATATTTTAATTTGTGGGCAGTATTTTATAAATCTAATAATACAATTCACGATAAGAAAGTGAACTCAAAAACTTATATAAGTGTCTGCTATTTCATCCGTACGTAGCATCGCAAGTTCAGCACAATTTTCAAGAGCTTTTATGTCCATTTCAATCAAACTCACGATAAAAACATTAGTTTCATTTTTTATTAAAAGATAATTGTGTTTGAATTGATGCGTCTCAAGGACATTTGATTCTGATATTAAAAAACTATTTGCAACTACTCAATAAAATCCAAATTAGAAGGCAATACAAGACTATTGATCAAGACTGAAATGTTTGCAAATACTGCGTACTTTGACTAAATTCGCCAGAAGTTATTTAGTAAGCAAGTGAGCAAAAGGCTAATTTCAGGAATTTGTAGCAAAACTTATCTAGATAACTGTTCTTTTTTAATGGAGTGGGATGCTCATTATTACAAATTTTATTGTAATATATTATCCAAAATCGGATATACATTTGCTGATAATGCTATTGTAACTAAAAGTATTTGAAGAAGCACCGGACTAAGAAATATAAAAATATAAATAAAATAATCGTACTGATGCTAACAAATGAACACTGAACGTTTTCATTCATACGAACTTTTCTGAACAAGTTGTTCTGAAAAATCCGGTCACGGTTAACGTTCATTTGTTCAATTTATTACAACATACGTTTCTTGAAATCTATGCTCACGGATCGTGTAAGAACTGTTCATTAGAAATCAACAGAACTTTTCAAGTCAGTTTTACAAGAAAACTTAAAAAGTTCTAGGGAATAAAGATCCAAAGTTCCAGCATAGATTAAGTTTCGTTTCAAGTTTCAAATCTGAGCCATTGTCGTTGTAAATGTAACCCAAACTAACATACATTAATTAGTATTATGTAGATACATATAATTTTTGTGTGTAAATGTTGAGTATATGTTTGTTCGAATGAACCGAATATTGTTCGTGAGACAGCTTGCTGATCAATTTTCCCATTTTTATCGTGAGATGACTGATAAAATACGATTTCTAATACTGATATATAAATATATACTGAATACATAAATAAATATTATACTCGAAATATTAAAATTTAATTCTTGGAAGAATAAATCATTATTTGCCATTCATTAAAATACTGATTTATTTTTCCACAAAGTAACTGAGTGTCCATTTCCCTTTTGTATGGCGCAATATTTCACAGGATGTATGATGAATCGCATTAAATCGTCTGTCTGATTGTCTATATAATGGATTGCCACTTGAGGATTTCATATTCAGCCAAACCTATCAGAAACATCTAGAAACAATAAGATAAAACTCTGATTCTGTATACCGATGATCAAAATATACATGAGGAAACTTTATATGAGTAAAACGTTGCGTAGTGCTAATGGCATTTTGAAGTTTCGAGATTATTTTTTCCTGAACTGAATCGGGGTTTTTCCGTCTAAACACACCTGCCGTTGAGATTCAAAATTTAGATTGTATTGCAATGGATTATTAAGCGGAAATACTTAAGTATTTTCAAGATGAATATTTTCCAAGAGATAATTGTCTTTTTTGGTGTTTCGGAGAAAGTTCGGCGACCTATCTCAAATTATTGCCTATGGATGTAAGAAAAGAGAATAGAAATATACTCAAATATGTATATATTTATCCATGTACATACGAGTGCATTTTGCTTGTTTTCTTATTTACTGCCATTTTTTTCACGTTTTGTTATTATCAATGTCCGTTGAATTGTTTGCTATTTAGTTCGATTTACACCGCACTTCATTGAAAGTTTTAGTATCTCTTATGGAAAGATCTGGTGTGTTTGGAGTGTAGAGTACTTGATCATCAAACTTGTTTTATCTCTAGCAATTGATTTTTGGTCGACTTTGTGGCGTACTTATTGAGGCGCCACAAAGTTTATTTACCTCGATTTCATTTCTCTCAAGTTAGTCGTGGTTTYGTAAAAATGTATTTAATAATAACTTATTATTATGGAGGTTCTGGTTTTATACCACATTCTATTAAATGGATAGGGACATACTTCAATTATACACTAATCTACATACATATGTGTTACTTATGTCCAAATTAACAGTTTTAATTGTTAATATTTATTKATTTTAGTTTAAATTAATCATTTATTTATTACTCATKTTAGTTCTTTTGAATCTGCATTAAAATATGTATATTAAGATACATAATGTTATTTTACTATCTTCTTATAATGCTCCTCATATCTTCTTATAATCTCATCCTTATCCTATGCTTTATATACCTCTATATAGCTCTATTATTTACATACCGAACTATTCTAGATTGTTTTAGTCGCTATGAAGACCATTTAATATCTAAAAACTGAAGTTTTTTCTTCTAGTTCGTTTACAGTACAACTTTTCATTAATTTAGTTTCAGAACTTTATGATTAAGTCTAGATGACTGCCTTTTTCTCTTTAACCAGCTATTTATTCCCTTCAAATCTATTCTTGTGACCTTTCGACTTGTGTCACTTATAATAGTAAATATTCCTTTTTCATATGCGTCCTTACATGTTTTATTCTGATAAACATACAGTTTTTACATTTTTGCAATTATTTCTGTAGGATTTTTTCCAGCACTATTTTTCTTCATCCATAGTCAATAGTAATTATATAGTAATTTTCGTATTATAACTTATTACATTTGATCTGGTTATTACCGCTTGAAACGCTGAAAAAAGTCGTTTACTGCTGGTCAAGAATTAGTTTCAATAAAAAGATAAACCGAACAACAGAGGATCGAAGTAATATGAATAAACAAGTGTTTGGAAATATAATTGTATGAGCTTCCAGCTATCCGTTTGCAAGGAAACTGTACAGGAATTTTCCATCAAAATTTTATTCAAACTTGTTTGGCAGCATTAGATTCTAGATAGAAATTTAATTAAAAACAGAGACTTTGGAAGAAACAAGGTACAAGTTGTAAGACACAATGTTGACATTGGAAAAAAAATAATTCACTTTGCATTTATTGAAAGTCAAAACATGGAAATAAAGAAGGCTATGGAGCTAATGGGTTTTCGGGTTTTCAGGCCGTCGTTCGGTAGAATCTCTTCATGACGTTTCGCAAGCACAAGTGGCGTGCATCTTCGGAAAAATACGGACTGCGCCCGAGGAATCGCATCAGAACAGTGTAACCGTTCAAGCAAACCACTTCTGAAGATGCAAGCCACTGGTGCTTGCGAAACGTCAAGAAGAAATTCGACCGAACGACGGCTCAAAAACCCGAAAAACCCATTAGTTTCAAGGAATGGCCTCGAAAGTCTATCTATTTTGATAAAGAAGACTATGTACGCCTGTTTCCATTTTATCCTCATTCAAGTTTAAGGATGTGGTTYCGGTACTTTTATAAGCMTAGTACGTATTTMTTTGCAGAATGKTAATTTCCAATTTTACTTACAACTTAAAATATTTGTTCATTGCGCATTTTTTGTTGTTTGCAACTTATGGCAACTCTTACCTACATTATTTCTCTRCCTTTGTTTTTTTTGCTTTGATTTGGTTCTCMCCTTAGTTCTACCACAAGAAAGATCCTGGACTGTTGTATGTCACCATTTCGTGTCGCAGTTTAATTTAAAAATTGTTTTATACTTACCATAYGTGCTGATTTCACACATTTTACKTTTCGTATATATATTTTGCTTTGTTATATTTCATGTTGCTCGTAYATAAATATATAAAAAGACAGCTACTTCSTGCAAAGCTTTTATTATCCACTTAAAAACAAAATTCCCTGAAAATKATTTAAAGTAAACCTGATTTGTACTTTAATTCCCGAGTAGTAAGGGCAATCACCTCATAMCACACATCCAAAGATTTCTAGGGGTAAACGCAAACTCCCAAGTCGGAATCGTAAACCAAACTAGTAACACAACTCATTGTGACGCCCACATAGGCACCATTAACCAATTGGCAGTAGAAGTAAATGTTGGAATTCGCGCTGCTTCCAAAGTAACCAGTACTCGTACAAGAATTGGCGTCTGCGATCAATGTTGAAGTGGACGATGATCCAACACTGGACGAAGCTGTTGTTGTGGACGTGGTTGTGGTACTTGCAGTTGTTGCTGATGAAGCTGCAGCTGTTGAAGTCGTTGCAGCTGTGGTGGAAGTAGTTGAAGCGGTAGTGGAAGCAGCAGTTGTGCTTGTAGTTGAAGTGCTAGTCGATGTGGTACTGGATGAGGAAATGCTCAAGCCCTAAGAAGATTTTCAATCGTATGTGAAGTTCACGAATATTTTAGTATCGCAAAATTATAAATTACCAGGGTATTCTGAATGGTAGTTAATAGTGGATACTGGGTGCCATTCAATCCAAGAAAGTCTTCAGTTTCAATAGACCAAATCATAATGGCTCCCAGTCCAAGCGATTTAGCGTATTTCACCTGAAACGCAATATTCCATTAACTTCTTTATTCGCTGGTCCAAATATATCCCACCTTGAGAGCAATCGAGTCTTCATCGTCATAACTTAACCAAGTCGTACCAGAATAAGCGTAAGGCACTTGCTGCTCATCGTCCCAAGCTGTGGTCCATCCTCCAGCATTAAATTTCTCGACAATCTGAGGAAATAAAATGAAGGTAAGTTTGATAGACGCAATTCCATGCAATCCACAGTTTTCAGAGCAGAAGTTGATAACGTAACTTATATAAACACTTAAGAGGAGCATTGATGAATATGGTAAAGGAGATGTTTGAGACCAATGTCTAATTTACAGGTTGTTCCCAATTAAATCGGCCATGCTGAAAACTTTCCTATTAGTTGAATAAATATAAATAGAATAGAGCTAAAGTTGTAAAAAAATTAAGCATGTTTGATGGAAAAACGTTCAAGGAACAAGTTATAGATTTTATTTAGAAAATAGAGTTTCCAGTATTATCATCTGATGATTATAATTCCTCAAAAATTATAATAAAATCTTCTTTAAAAATTGATGGAAGATCCAGAAGATATTTTTCTGTTGGCTATTTTAAACATCAAATTTCTAGTTGATCCAGATTTGATTGCAAGGTACTCTCTTTAATTAAATACTTTCAAATCCGCGTTAATTTTTTTATTTTCGTCTAAAACTTTGTATAGAATTAGTCCTTTTTGCAATTAAGTTGTAATGTGGGTTTTCATATGCTTTTCTTGACACCATCCAAATACATCTGAAATTATTTATATTTTATTTCAAGGCATACATGAATTAATCATTTTGAGAGAAAAAAAGCAAAATTATGTATAGGAAAAAGATTACTTTACCTATTCCTTGAAGAGGCTTCAAGGTTTAAGTCACAAAAACGACATCTTTGGGGGCTCATTTACTCAGCAAAATATGGAAACATTTTATATATGGGGGCTCATACATTTCACGTTTTTTTATATTCCCATCAATTAACAAAAAGTGGTAAATTTTAGAGAAAATTTCTAAGGAAAAATAACGCATTTCCTGTTGGAATACAGAGACTTGAGAATTAGGCACGTATGATATTGTTACTTTTAATATTTTGCTAAACAGAACATTGATAGTATATAAAAATGGAAGCCCTGATTGAATAATAAAATATTTTTCTGCTAAGGTATAAGGAATAACTCGATGATGCAATTGGTAATTTGAGGAGTTTATTAATGTCGCTTAAAAGGCTTTATGTATTTGCTATTTTAATTTAAATACTGCTCTTGTTAATACATGTTTATCAACTGAAGTTACTTATACAATTACTTACTGACAAAAGTTCTTACAATTGCTAAACATTTTTCTTAAATTGGAAAATGCGAGTGAGAAATAGGAAAAATGTAAATGTTGATGAAAGCAAAGGGGAAAAGTAAATTGATTGCCCCGAAAAATAAATCGCAATCGACACAGCAATTATTGCTGTGTCCAAAACCATAAAACTAAGTAACCGAATTTATTGTATATTTAAAGAAATGTGGCATTCAAAGCTTGTTATCTACCCCATGCACATAAAATAAACTTAAAGGGCGTGAAAATCGATCACTTATTGATCAAATGGGGTGTTTATCAATAGAAATTTCCATTCATATTTATGGCCAAGGCAGTAAATGCGGCAAACTATCTTTCAAATTCATCTTCTTCGCGCGCCCTTTGCCGCCCGGGAACCAAAGAATTCAATTAAATGGAATAACGGCATTTCTGTTATGTTCACACGGCATACGCTTAGCTACACATAGCTGAGTTTGCATATTTTCCATAAAAGAAAAATTATATTTATAATTTTTGTGAGATTAGAAGAATCAAATGTGACTGCCAAAAGCGCTAGATGTAGGATTCAAAAAGGCATCGTTAAAAGATCCATAAATGCACAGACAATAAAAAATTCTATCAAACACTCTGTGAAGTACTACGATTAAAAAATATCCTGGAACTACATTACTTACCTCATTGTATCCAAGAAAACCTGAAGTAGCTGTGTAAGGACCAGCAGCGCCTCCTGTGGATGTGGAAGCTGATCCTGGTGCAGTATTACTGGAGCTGGAAAGAACTGTCGTTCTTCCATAGAATGGCACGCCAAGAGCGAGTTTTGCCGGGGAAGCGCCCCGTTCAATCCAACCGTGGACACAAGCATTCTAACAATCCGTTGCCAGACATTTTATTCTAGATGGAATATTGGTTGGCATCTACAAGTACTTACCACACTGTAGTCTGCATATTCAGTACCAATAAGTTTGGAAGTACTGTATAAAGGTGCGTTATGGTAAGCCTCCGTGTCCCAAGACCCATGGAAGTCGTAGAGCATCAAGTTGATAAAATCGAGGTATCTGGAAAATATTCCGTTTATTGGCTGCTGCTTAAGAGAATTTGAAGATTGAAGATGAATAATATGAAGAACCAAAGCACTCACTGCGATAATACAGGAACATCGTATGAAATATCAACGGAGCTGGGAGTAACGCTGACTGCTGCTGTTATAAGTAAGCCAAGTGGGTTAAATACTTCATAGAATTCTTGCACAAGCAACGAAAGGTTCTCCTAAAAATTATTAGCAGTGCAGTTTCAAGCCAAAACGGACTGAGTTTCGTGATACCTTATCAGCTGAGTTTGTGCTGTCTCTTCTAGCGGGATATTCCCAGTCCAGATCAAACCCGTCCAAACCGTAAGTCTGCACCCAACTCAAAGCAGAAGCGATAAATGTGGCTCTTTTAGTTGCATCAGCGGCCATAACTGAAAATTCTGCCGATCCTGCAATGCAACACACAAAAATTAAATAAAGTTTTTAAAGTTTGACAATGAAATGTTCTGGCTGAAAAACCCACCTGCATTCCATCCTCCAACAGCCAAAAGTACCTTAAGGTCAGGATTTGTTACTTTCAGATTAGCTGCTGCTGTTATTCCACCTAAAACCAAATAGTCAATTATAAAAAAATACAGGGTTGGGCGTAAGCATTGTTAAAATCCAAGCGATTGGTGAGTTTCTTAAATATTAAATATAAACCTAAGTCGATATCCAGCCAGCTATCCAAAGAAACGACTTCAGATGTTGATGAGTCTAGTCCCATGAAGGTATAAATGTAATGTGTGCATAGATCGGTTGGGACGTTGCTGAAGACAAATTTTCCATTTCCAGTTCGGTAGTACGACCAAGTTCCATGATAACATATCACACTTGCTGCAATGAAAATAAAACATGTATAAATAAAAGTTAAAATCCATGGTCTCACAGTGGAATTACTTAATTAGAGTTAAGCAAATACACAGTCTTACCACAATTAATTTATTAGATGTTCAAATACCCAACGCGTTTCGACTGTATAAGCTACTGTATAAACTACTGTTTTATTCCATGTGAGGAAAAACGTTCAAAATATTTGTAAACCAGCACACATTGAGAAGCAACTGGGTTGTTGTTTATATATAAGATAACTGTAAATAACACGCTTTCTTCAACGTGTAAGATTCAAGAAAATTTTTATCTGATTGTTGCAAAAGCTAATTGTCTTTAACTGTATGTAAATATTGGCAATAATTCCAGTTTAAGCAATAACGAGTGCATACAAATTGTACCATCAAGTTGGATTTTTGAACAAACAAACAATTGAAACAAATAGCAGATATTTGGAAATAGGAGTATGCTTTAAAAAAAATACAGATACAAATATTACATAATTACATATTACATAAGTGCATAAGTACATCCATAAATAATATTTGTTTTAAAATTTTTGATAGATCTTTTTAATACAGTTTTTTAGCAAATGACATTATTTTCGCGAGCTTATCAGCTCCTAATCGTTTACGATATATGCTAAATTAGTGGAAAACTTCACATTCCTGCACTTATAATTTATCATAAAGATGTGTTTAAGGGTAATAAAGCAATACACATTTGATGCTGACTGTAAAAGAATTAAACAATATCAAATCTTGATAAGAGAAATATAAAACAAAAATTTGATAATGATTTAGGAAATATGGGCTAAAAATATATCAAAGTGGAAAACACTGACACAAAATGAGTTTTAGGCAATGCCCATGCACAAGTTAGGGTGGCAGTTGGGCAGTAGATCTTGGAACAACACAGAAAGTACTGGGAGGACACCGCGACTTCATACCGCAAAGCAGTTGTTGGGACCTCCACAACCAGTACGTAAAAATGAACTGCTA